TCTTTAAAAGCTGGGAAAACCGGAAACCACTGCTGCTGCTTCTTATCGTTGTATCGTCCTTAGTAGTTATTGGATGGCCTCACTATAAAAGCAGTTAGTTGTAGTACTGGTCAATTTGTCAACTAACGGGCTTTCGACTTACTGCTGGGTTTGGTGTCTGTCTACTATGGCTTCTTTAAGGGAAACGTTGGACTAAACACATAAGACTTTTTAATTGCTTAGGAAACCCTAATTGGGCAGTCAGTTACCCCTATCCGAATTGCTCGATTCTATATGTTGTAGTAGGTTGAGCGTATAAATTGATCCAAATGTGATTGAAATTACGGCTCCCGGTTGGGAGCCTTATAGCTCAGTTGGCTACAGTATTAACTATTTTTAGGCCTTCCCTTGCTTGTGTTAGTTCGAATCCAACCGAGGCCTCCAAAACTTTACAAGTTTGTAAATTATATTATTCAAATTTGCCAAAATGTCAACTGCATAAGACTTTCAATATTACATTGAGGTCTGTCTGGTATACTTCCGGCAAGAATACAGAGCAATTTCGTCTGGTTTGAGCGTTTTGGGCTACAACGCTACAACACACCTGTACTGAAACCCCAAGCACCCTATTCAGGACCCGATTATTATTCATTTAAGTGTGCGGGAATAGTGTGTCGCCCAGTTCTCAATCCTTGGACCCGCCGGTTGTTCAGATCGGATAATCGACTGGTAAACAGAAGAGGGAAAAGAATTGAAGGACAGAACTAGCAAACCCAGACCAACGACACATTCACAGCGCGGGATGGGAGGGCTGCTAACGGACGTCATACATTTTTCATACTCAGGACTGAGAACCAGTCTGCAGTGGTTACCCTCTTAACTCGTTTATTTTTATAGCACTCTAACGTTTGTCGGATCAGAGTCGCCCCTTCCCTAAGCCGGTGCATATAGTAATGACCAGCTCGTACGTGTGTCACTGGCAGACGGAGGGTTAAGTTTTGTCAACCAGTGCAACCGAGCCGGTCTCTGGCCACCTGGACATTATCCTGCT